TCCCAGGAAGCTGTCTCTTCTAGAGACTTTTATAGAAGAAAACTATGTGATGAGGTGGGTCTAAAGTGGCGGAGAATACATGGGAACTCGCTTAGGTGGGCATGAGGTGAGACAAAACTATGGTCATCCAATGAGATTACAAGCACCATTGCTCAGGTAAAATTGATTAAATCCAGTACCAAATGAGGAAGCTAGTCATGTAACAAGTGGGCATGAATATGGGTTAGGGTCTCTTCCTGTTGGGGGTTGGGTTAGTGACTCATTTGGGCTCTTTCAAGGTGATTGATACCTATGTAGACTATCAATCCCTGATGCCCATCCCTAGGAAAGTTAGTAGCTGTGTTTCCTCTTTTGTCTTGGCCTTGAGGTGTGGTCCATACTGGAGTTCTGCCTCTTCCAAGTTGTAAAGTCACATTGTCTTCCATCTTACCTCCTTGAGGGCCTGGCCCTGTCTGACTAACTATAATATTTCTATTTAATTCAGCTGCCTACGACAGTTTAACACCCAAAGTCACAGACACAGAAAAACACGCCCTCCCCCCTCCAAGGTGGATGGGGAAGCTGGCCTTGGAATCCTCTACTGAACTCTGTCATTCAGCTGGCATGGGGTGGGGCCCACTCAAGGAGTGAGAAGGAGTGTGTTGGGGCAAGGGCAACTAGCATCTCTTCTGTCCTCTAACCCCAAACCAGTCATGTGACACATGAAAGTCCAGAGGAAGAAATCAAAATGAGACCTGGAGCCAGGCATGGTGGCATACGCCTGTTGATAGGTTCTGCCTGAGTGCAAACTGCTAAATTATCACAGCCCGTATTCAACATGGCTAAATTCCCAAAAAAAACAGCCTATCTTCCCAAGGATCACTTCCTCCTTTTTTGCTGCTCCAGCCTTGAATGCAACTTCCTTTGCTGCCCCACACACAAGGGAGCGTCCAATTAGCTCCTCATCTGTCCCTGAGCCTCCCCCTCAAACTCCGCCCCTAGCAAAAGTTCCTAAAGTCTCATCCTCCCTGTCTCAGGTCAGAGGATCTGCCAGTCTCCCTGCCTTCAATGCTGTCTGTGTCTTCAGAGTTAATAAAGGCTTCCCCTCCCCCTTATTTCTGTTTCTCTGCTGCATGGCCACTACCGCTGCTGCTGTGGATAAAACTTAACACCTGTCATCCCAGCACTCAGGAGGCTGAGGCAGGAGGATCACTGAGAGATGTTGAGCTAATTGGACTCTCCTGTGTGTGGGGGGCAGCAAAGGAAGTTGCATTTAGGGCTGGAGCAGCAAAAAAGGAGGAAGTGATCCTTGGAAAGATAGGCTGTTTTTTTGGGAATTTAGCCATGTTGAATAAGGGTTGTGATAATTTAGCAGTTTGCACTCAGGCCAGAACCTATCAACAGGAGGCTGTTGAGATGGCTCAGTGGTCTAAAGCACCTACTTAGAACAAGCTTAGCAAAGCACAGGGACCGCAGTTCAATCCTCCAGCACCACATGCCAGCCAGCCCGGCCCCCTGGTGGGCTGAGCTGGCCACACACACACACACACACACACACACACACACACACACACACACATACACACACGTAAATAAATAAAATTTAAAAAAAAAAAAAGACAGAGAGAGAGAGAGAGCTGCCAGGGTGCACTGGCAGGCTACCTTACTCCCTTGCTTCACCTGAGTCAGTTAGGAAGCCTCAGAGCTGAAATGCACTCTGCTCCTCATGCTGCCCCAGGAAGAAGCTGTCACCCACTTCCTTGCTGGATCCCATTGGCTCTATCCTTTGCTCTTTGAGTCATGACTTGAACAAGGCACCCTCCTTCCTGCTTCCTTTCGGCCTCCCTCCCAC